TGGTGGTGATGGTGGTGGTGGTGATGGTGGTGGTGGTGGTGGTGGGGGTGGGGGTGGTGTTTGTTTTATTGTTGTTGTTGGTGGTGGTGGTGGTGTTTGTTGTTGTTGTTGTTGGTGGTGGTGGTGTTTATTGTTGTTGGTGGTGTTTGTTGTTGTTGATGGTGGTGGTGTTTGTTGTTGGTGGTGGTGTTGTTTGTTGTTGGTGGTGGTGGTGTTTGTTGTTGTTGGTGGTGGTGTTTGTTCTTGTTGTTGATGGTGGTGGTGTTTGTTGTTGTTGTTGGTGGTGGTGTTTGTTGGTGGTGGTGGTGGTGTTTGTTGGTGGTGGTGGTGGTGGTGTTTGTTGGTGGTGGTAGTGGTGTTTGTTGTTGTTGTTGTTGGTGGTAGTGGTGTTTGTTGTTGTTGTTGATGGTGGTGGTGTTTATTGTTGTTGGTGGTGTTTGTTGTTGTTGGTAGTGGTGGTGTTTGTTGTTGTTGATGTTGGTGGTGTTTGTTGTTGATGGTGGTGGTGGTGTTTGTTCTTGTTGTTGTTGTCGGTGGTGGTGGTGGTGTTTGTTGGTGGTGGTGGTGGTGGTGGTGGTGTTTGTTGTTGGTAGTGGTGGTGTTTGTTGTTGTTGGTGGTGGTGGTGTTCGTTCTTGTTGTTGTTGTTGGTGGTGGTGTTTGTTCTTGTTGTTGTTGTTGGTGGTGGTGGTGGTGTTTGTTGTTGTTATTGAGGATGGTGGTGTTTGTTGTTGGTGGTGGTGGTGGTGGTGGTTTTTGTTGGTGGTGGTGTTTGTTGTTGTTGTTGATGGTGGTGGTGTTTTTTTGTTGTTGGTGGTGTTTGTTGTTGGTGGTGTTTGTTGTTGTTGTTGATGGTGGTGGTGTTTGTTGTTGGTGCTGGTGTTTGTTGTTGCTGTTGTTGTGGTGGTGGTGTTTGTTGTTGTTGTTGATGGTGGTGGTGTTTGTTGTTGGTGGTGGTGTTTGTTGTTGCTGTTGTTGTGGTGGTGGTGTTTGTTGTTGTTGTTGTTGTTGTTGTTGTTGTTGTTGTTGTTGTTGTTGTTGTTGTTTTTGTTGTTGTTGTTGTTGTGTAAGGTATGTACAGATGTTGTGTTCAGGTGAATCACAGTGTTATGTCTCTAAAGGTACGTCGGTGGTGACGGTGGTGGCCACAGATGCTGATGATCCAACTTATGGAAACTCTGCCAGACTGGTTTACAGCATCCTGCAGGGTCAGCCATACTTCTCTGTGGAGCCAAAGACAGGTGACAGAACACCTGAACACACCTCAATACAATACCTGAACTCACCTGAGCATACCTCAATACAATACCTGAATTCACCTCAACTCACCTGAACAAACCAGAACTCATCTGAACACCCATGAACATACCTGAAATCACCTGAATATACCTGAATACACCTGAACACACCTGAATACAACACCTGAACTCACCTGAGACCTGTATTACAAAGCAGGATCTGAGGTTATCGAGGTAACTTCAGGTTTAATTCTGGGTTTTCAGTCCTATGACGGTGGTTCACTTGTTACCAGGGTAAATCACCATGGTAACTTACACTGAACTTACTTATGCTGAACAAAAGTTTATCGCTAAATGAAATATTAAAACTGTCAGAGCTTCACTTGACCTGAACACAGATTCTTTAATGGAGGATTCCTGCCAGTGATGAAGCTTTTACTCTCCTCTTCCTCTCCTCCTCTTCCTCTTTTCTTCCTCTCCTCTTCCTCCCCTCTTCCTCTTTTCTTCCTCTTCCTCCCCTCTTCCTCTCCTCCTCTTCCTCTCCTCTTCCTCTCCTCCCCTCTTCTTCTCCTCTTCCTCTCTTCTTCCTCTTCTCTTTTTCTTCCTTTCCTTTTCCTCTCCTCCCCTCTTCCTCTCCTCTTCCTCTCTTCTTACAATCCTCTTTTCTTCCTCTCCTCCTCTTCCTCTTTTCTTCCTCTCCTCTCCTCTTTTCTTCCTCTTCCTCTCCTCTTCCTCTCTTCTTCCTCTCTTCTTCCAATCCTCTTTCTTTCCTCTTTTCTTCCTCTTCCTCCTCTCTTCCTCTCCTCCTCTTCCTCTTTTCCTCTTCCTCTCCTCCTCTTCCTCTTTTCTTCCTCTTCCTCCCCTCTTCCTCTCCTCTTCTTCTCCTCCCCTCTTCTTCTCCTCTTCCTCTCTTCTTCCAATCCTCTTTCTTTCCACTTTTCTTCCTCTCCTCCTCCTCTCCTCTTTTCTTCCTCTTCCTCCTCTCTTCCTTTCCTCTTCCTCTCCTCCTCTTCCTCTTTTCTTCCTCTCCTCTTTTTCTTCCTTTCCTTTTCCTCTCCTCCCCTCTTCCTCTCCTCTTCCTCTCTTCTTACAATCCTCTTTTCTTCCTCCTCCTCTCCTCTTTTCTTCCTCTTCCTCCTCTCTTCCTCTTTTCTTCCTCTCTTTTCTTTTTCTCCTCATTTCTTCCTCTCCTCCCCTCTTCCTCTCCTCTTTTCTTTTTCTCCTCTTTTCTTCCTTTCCTCTTCATCTCCTCTTCATCATCAACATGATGATAATTCATGCTCTTATTTACATTATATCTTTAGTCTGACTTTAACAGAAATTATATTTAGACATGGAAATCATATTTTTTTATTCCAGTCATGTGATCATATTGTTACATTTCACCTTGTTGAATGTCCCTGTTGGACGTGGTTATTACTGAATTTACCTCATCAGTGTTTCTTCTCATATTAAGAACCATGGTTCAGACGATGCTGCTTATAATTAACAACTCCGCCTCTTTCACATGAACACGCTTGTACCTGGACAGGTAAACCAGAGTTAACTGAGCCAGGTGATAACCAGCTTCGTAGTTATGTTCAGTTAAGCCAGATAACTAAAAGTTATCCTGGGTTTGTTGAACTTGCTTCGTATTACAGGCCTCTGAACACACCTGAATACACTTGAACTCAGTCACTGTCGCTCTAACTAAGTATTTTTACTTTTAGTTCATCAAGGATCTGAGTATCTGTGATCCACCTGAACACCTGAACACTCTGGGTTCAAAGGATTTTAGGGTCTTTATAAAAACCAAGGAGTGTTAACAACAAACAAATAAACAAACAGCATCACTCTGAATGATTCAGACTCATTTAAACGTGTGATCATTCAGACTGCTGTGATGTGTTCATCTCTCTCTTATATAAACCTGTTTACCCCACCCCACCCTCCTCACCCTGTTCTATCTGCAGACATTAACCTGTAAATTATCCTGAAATGTTTATGGTTTATAGAGAGGAGGTGAATTAACTCATCCTCTGCAGGCAGACAGATCAGATTAAAAGCCGTGTGTGTGTGTGTGTGTGTGTGTGTGTGTGTGTGTGTGTGTGTGTGTGTGTGTGTGTGTGTGTGTGTGTGAAGATTATTTCATTATAAACAGCTCTAAATGCTCCATGTATTTAAGTGTTGTGTATTAACTGATGAGCTCCTCCTCTTACGTCAGGCTCAAACATGGACGAGCTGCAGTGAGAGACTCGACATTAACATGATGTGACATGAACTGAACTGTAACAAACAAACAAACAGCATCACTCTGAATGATTCAGACACTGATGGAGAACAGATGTAAAACCATTAAGTGTTTTTACCTTTTAACTGATTCTCACCAGAAAATTGTCCCTAAAATTATGAAGAAAATAAACTTTCTTTTAAACACTTTTCAACAAAACAAAAGTTTAAACAGACAACTGGAAATCCTGTAGTGAAGAAATTGTATTTTGTACCAGTTTCCACACTAGAGTCACAGATAAATAAATACCAATGTTCTTTATATAGAAATAAATTTTAATGTGAAATTCTATGTGAAAATCTGTTACAGCTTGGTGTTAGGGCCCAAAAGCAGACCTCAGAACTCAAGTTGGAGAAAGAGTTTTATTGAGCACTCAGGGATGGAAAATGGGACAGGCAGGCAGGTAGATGAGTTGATGGTTTGGATGATGGTTCTGGATCCGTAGCAGGGAGGCAGAGCCAGGTGCGGCTGAGGATACGCAGAGTGAGTACAAGGAACAAAACTAGGAAAAACCACAAGGAATAATTACTCTAAGGTTGCGCTGATAGGTACCACATAGGCGTAGGAATAATCTGGCGATGAGTTGATACAGAGGTTGATGAAGGTAGATGAGATTCAGGTGTGCTGCACCGCTCACAGCCAGATAGCCAGGCCACGCCTCCTTGCGGCGACAGACAGGGAGGAGGGTGAAACACACTAGGAGCAGGGGAACAGGAGAGACAGGAGGAGAGAGAGAGAGCAAAGGAGGGTGGAGATCCTGTCGTGGCAGCAGAGTTCAGACAGGCTCTTAATGTGAAAATCAGTTTGTCACTGATGGAGAACAGCTGTAAATGAACCATAACTCTCCTGACTCTCACCTTTCCCCAGGTATGAGCCAGGTATGCTGTTGTCATGGTGCCTGATGAGTGTGTCATTGTGAAAGATGCTGTGATGCAGTTTTGTTCTGAACTGGTTTACGTGTTGTCATGTGGTCCAGGTGTTGGACTGTGGACAGACTCTGGTCTGTGAATCACCTGAGTCTCACCTGTCCTGCAGGTGTGGTGCGGACGGCTTTACCTGACATGGATCGGGAGGTGCGGGACCAGTACCTGTTGGTCATCCAGGCCAAAGACATGATTGGTCAGATGGGAGGTCTGTCAGGAACAACCTCCGTTACAGTGACCCTGATCGATGTCAATGACAACCCTCCTCGCTTCCCCCGCAGTGAGTTTGACCTTTGACCTTTAATTATGACATACCACTAGACCCTCAGACCACCAGACCACCAGAGCACCAGACCCACAGACCCTCAGACCACCAGACCACCAGAGCACCAGACCACCAGAGCACCAGACCCACAGACCCTCAGACCACCAGACCACCAGACCCTGAGACCACCAGACCCTCAGACCCTCCGACCACCGGACCCTCAGACCACCAGACCACCAGACCCTCAGACCCTCCAACCACCCGACCCTCAGACCACCAGACCACCAGACCCTCAGACCACCAGACCACCAGACCCTCAGACCCCCAGACCCTCAGACCACCAGACCACCAGACCCTCAGACCCCCAGACCCTCAGACCACCAGAGCACCAGACCCACAGACCCTCAGACCACCAGACCCTCAGACCCTCCGACCACCAGACCCTCAGACCACCAGACCACCAGACCACCAGACCATCAGACCCTCAGACCACCAGACCATCAGACTCTGAGACCACCAGACCATTAGACCCTCAGACCCTCAGACCACCAGACTACCAGACCCTCAGACCATCAGACCCACAGACCCTCAGACCACCAGACCCTCAGACCCTCAGACCCTCAGACCATCAGACCCACAGACCCTAAGAACCCTCAGACCCTCAGACCACCAGACCCTCAGACCACCAGACCACCAGACCACCAGACCATCAGACCCTCAGACCACCAGACCATCAGACTCTGAGACCACCAGACCATTAGACCCTCAGACCCTCAGACCACCAGACTACCAGACCCTCAGACCATCAGACCCACAGACCCTCAGACCACCAGACCCTCAGACCCTCAGACCCTCAGACCATCAGACCCACAGACCCTAAGAACCCTCAGACCCTCAGACCACCAGACCCTCAGACCACCAGACCCTCAGACCCTGAGACCACCAGACCACCAGACCCTCAGACCATCAGACCCACAGACCCTCAGACCCTCAGACCATCAGACCCACAGACCCTAAGAACCCTCAGACCCAAAGACCCTCAGACTACCAGACCACTACACCACCTGCACCTGTCTGTGTACCTGTCTCCTACAGAGAGCTACCAGTTCAGTGTTCCAGAGTCTCTACTGGTGTCAGCTGTGGTTGCTAAGATCAAAGCTCTGGATCTGGATGTTGGTCCAAATGCTGAGATGGACTACAGGATCCTAGACGGAGATGGACTGGGAACCTTCAGGATCCTCACTGATCCAAACACACAGGAAGGACTGGTCATCCTCCACAAGGTAGTGGTTTATTACCAGTAAGGACTGGTCAAAATACTAGTGACTCTTCAACAGTTAGTGGTCTCCTTGTAGCAAGTACTGGTTCCAGTGTAGCAGGTACTGGATTTCTTGTAGTAGGTATTGGATTTCTTGTAGCAGGTACTGGTTTCTGTGTAGCAGGAACTGGTTCCAGTGTAGCAGGAACTGGTTCCAGTGTAGCAGGCACTGGACAGACAGAGGTTACTGGCAACGAGATCACTCACATGTTTGCCTTCTGTCATGGACAAATATTCTTGTTCTGGGTCAGATGTGTTTTCTCTGTGCTTTCTTTGTCCAGATGTTAGACTGATTCAGAGGATTTCAGTCATTGGCTCACTGATCCAGCTCTCAGAACATCTGCAGCTTTGACCTCGGTCTGATCATTGCATTAGTTTGCACAGCTCTGTGTTATAAGTGTTTTTTGTTGGTCCCAGAGGACAGTCTTCCACTGCTGAACAGCTGCTGACAACACTCACAGTTTCAAATTTAGATTGATGTCAGTGTTGCAAAACCAAAATCATCTGTTATTTCTACTTTCATGGGAAAAATGCTCAGTTTTAGAGAATCCTGATAATAGTGTGTATTTTAAGTAAGTCCTTCTAAATCAGGCTTCCTGAGGTAAATATATCCCACATGATGAGATAATGAGACTGTTTCTGTCAGACCCTCAGACAATAACATCATCTCTTCACTGTTCCTAATAAAGGAGTCTAACAACTGAACTAAGCTTGAACAACAACCATCACATCAGTTTTCCTCTCCTCCCTCCAGACTCTGGACTTTGAGACCAAGTCCAGCTACACTTTGCGTGTCGAAGCGTCCAATCGTTACGTGGACACCCGTTTCCTGTCTGTGGGTCCATTCAGTGATCTGGCAACAGTTCGTCTGCTTGTGGAAAACGTGGACGAGCCTCCGGTCTTCTCGTCCTCCATCAGTCAGATGGTGATCTCAGAGGCAGCTGCAGTAGGAACTGATGTGGGATCAGTTACAGCTCACGACCCCGACGCCACCAGCAGTCCTGTCAGGTACAAGTGTCTGTGACTCTGTGACTGTCTGTATGTAACTCTGTCTATGACTCTGTCTGTGACTCTGTCTGTACTGCAGGTTCTCTATAGACCAGAGGTCAGATGTGCAGCGTTACTTTACCATTGACAGTAGTTCCGGTCTGATCAGAACAAACCGACCTTTAGACCGAGAGACCTCTGCTCTGCACAACATCACCGTCCTCGCAACAGAGAGCCGTGAGTCCAACTTTAATGTGGTGTGTGATTTTATTGTGACAACTTCCTCTCTGTAACAGGTATGCCTGACAGATGTGTCTGTGTGTCAGTGGATCCTTCTCAGGTGGGGAAAGCTGTGGTTCTGGTGTCTGTGACGGACATTAACGACAATGCTCCGAGCTTCGCCATTGAATACCAACTGTTCGTCTGTGAGAACAGCAAACCTGGACAGGTAAACCTGTCCGTCACAGACTGTCTGTAACTCTGTCTGTGACTCTGGACCTTCAGGTTTTACTACCTGTCAATATTATTTTCATTTTAGCATTATTTAAATAAATAATAATTTTTAAATCAGCACAAACACAAAACAAACAAAACAGTCTTTACTCTTCATAGATAAAAATCATAGAAATATAACTGTCCATAAAAACAGCAAACACAACATGACTCAGAAACTGTGTGTGTGGCCAGGTATTGATGTTTACTTTACTCCTATATTTCAATTAAATGTTTATGTCCGCTGCTTTATCACCATTCACACATCAATTACACAATCACACCCTGAGGCTCAGCTGCTACACTTCAGAGGTTTATCTCACTCAAAGACTCAGCAACAAACAGGTAAGAATTGAACAGGTGATCCACACCGGAACAGACTGAGGGAATGATAGTCCCAGTCCCAGTGTCCCCCTTAAATCCTGAACCGGGAAACCCTTACAGCCTAAACTGACTTCAGCTGGTGAGGGATTGAGTGCGAGAGGCTGCAGGGCTCAAAATGGTGTAAAGAGGACTGGGAGAGCATGTATATCACGTTACTTTGACGATGCCAAAACATTTGCATTCAATTGTGGATTTGGGACTTTTGATTATTTTTATTCCCTCCATGTTTGTAAACAAAAAAATAATTTTGGAACAGATCTGATCCAATTTGGATATTTGGGATGTGATCACAGGACAGATAACTCCACAGTTCTACTCTGACTCACAGTGACTCTGTTTATACTGCCATATATTGTCTGTTCCGTCTAATGCTAACATTAGCATTAGCTCCTTTCATACTTGTTTGTGAACCTTTCTCCTTCCATCTTATTATTTCTTGCGTTTTTTACATTTCTGGGCGTCCCCTGATAACCATGGCAACCCTGTGTTTAATGTCACAACACTATGAACTTTGGGTAATTCCCTCAGACAAAGTCTGCTGTAATGTGGCCTTAAGGGAAAGTGTGAGTAAAGGGTTCCAAATGTCTGTTAGAGTCCTCATGTCCTTTTACAGTGGGAAAGTCAGAGAGTCACTGATGGAGAAAGTGTTTCTCTATCTGATCTTCATTCCAAATGTCTTTGTTCTCTAATCTGATCACATGATGAGGATCAGTCTGAGTTTACCAGGAGGACCAGGATCATAAAATGATCAGCAGTGTCGATTTGTAATCAATCGACTGAAACAGGCCAATCAGAATCATGAACTACAGATTCTTTAGATTATGTGTTTAAGAAATCATTTTCTCTGATTGAGTCATTTTGTTTTCTGTGTTTGACACTTGACCTTCAGATTGTTGAGACTCTCAGCGCTGTGGACCGAGATGAACCTGAGAACGGGCATCACTTCCTGTTCTCTCTGACCACTGAGGCTGCAGGGAATCTCAATTTCACCCTGAGAGACAACAAAGGTAAAGTCCACCTTAAAAGGTCTACTTTAAATAACTACATCTAACACAGGTACAGTCCACCTTAAAAGGTCTATCTTAAATCAAAGGCTCAGACCTGAAACACTTAAACCAGAGCAAATCTTCTTTGTTTTTAAGCCAAAATTCTTAACTCAAGGTCCGCTTACTCGCTTTTATCACATCGTTAATTCATCTTTAACCAGCAGTAGAATATGGAGAACCCAGAACAGAACCAGACGGAACCTCGTGTTGTTCTGTGTTTGATTACATGATATGATATATGATCATATTTATACTGTCCATGATCATTTATTTAGAAAGTTAAAGATCAGTTCATAGTGATTTACTGTAATTATAATTATTAATTATCTACTATAATACTATAATTATAATTAAAATAATCATAAGACAAACATATTGATATAAATCTGAACTGGTCCTTTCAGCTCAGGTGAAAGCAGGCTCCTCTTCCTGCTGACATTACTCAGATGTTTGATCTTCTGTCCTCAGACAACACAGCGTCTGTCCTGACTCGGCGTGGTGGTTTCCTGCAGCGGGATCAGTTGGTTCACTTCGTGACGGTGGTGATTTCAGACAGCGGCAGTCCGTCTCTCAGCAGCACCACCACGCTGTCTGTCACTGTCTGTGACTGTGATCTCGATGGACACCGACGCTCCTGCAGCCAGAGAGCGTCACCACTGCTGGTGGTCGGACTAAGCACCGCCGCCACCGCCGCTGTCCTCACCTGTGTCCTCACACTGCTGGGTATGACCTGAAACATGCCAGCAACAAGCCACAATCATGATATCAACCAACTAGTATCCCATAGCAACCACCCAGTATCCGATAGCAACCACCTACAGTACTGAAAGCAACAGATTTGTGATTCATTAAAGGTCAAAACACTGTTCCTTTAATTCAGTCCCATGTCTGTGACTAAAGGATGAACTGATCAGATTTTGGTGGTGAAAGGTCAAGGTCACTGTGACCTCACAAAACTCTGAAGCACCTTCCGTTACCTCATTGTTATTAATTGTAGTTTGACACCTGCCTTTCTCTTCAGGTGTCGTCATGGTAACGGTCGTCATCAGACACAGGAAGAGGGAGCCTTTGATGATGAACGATGAGCGAGAGATTCTTGAGAACATAGTCCGTTATGATGATGAAGGTGGAGGTGAGGAGGACACTGAGGCCTTCGACATGTTTGCTCTGAGGCACCTGAACCAAACAATCCAAACCTACCAAGACCCCGACCTCCACCCCGACCACCATCCGCCGGGACTCCCCAGAAGACCACAGCCTAGCATGGAAAAAAACCAGCTGTTCCAGGAGTTTATCAAGGACAGACTGCAGGAGGCAGACCTGGATCTGACGGCCCCCCCTTATGACTCTCTGCAGACCTATGCCTTTGAAGGCAGCGGGTCGACTGCAGAGTCACTCAGCTCATTAAACTCAGTAGACTCGTTAGACTCATTAGACACATTAAATTCATTTAACTTGTTAGAGTCTGAGCAGAACTATGACTTCCTTAGAGAGTGGGGGCCGAGGTTCAGGAAGCTTGCAGACCTCTACGGAAACCACAAGGGGGGTGGGGGCTCATCATAGTCCTCAATCTGCAGGAAGCAGAGGAGACTGGAGGAGCTGTAACAGGTGGAACAGTAGGTCACCTGTATCTGACCTGCTGGATCTGGATCAGGGTAAAGTCTGAGTCAGGATCATATGTGGATCAGGGTCAGAGGCCAGCCTCAGACCTGCAACTCTGAGGCTGCTGCCTTGACCCTGATACCCAACATGCGTTTCCCTGGTGCTGGAGGAAACAGGAATACAAACTGCATCAAATGAGATATTTTTTTAAACAAGAATCCTCCATTAAGTCAGCCATGTTTGTAGTCCAGTTTGTTTCTGAGAATAGAATCAGGACCGTGTTTAGTAGGTGGTAATGCATAGATCAGCCCTTTATGGCATCTGGTCCAGTGTGTGCCCCCGCCACACCTGCTGTACTCAGACACAGGGTTCTGTACCTGGTCCTGTGGACACACTCCCCTGGTTATGTATCGGTCATATGACTGATGAGTGACAGTGTGTTTGCCTCTGTTAGCAGTACAATAATAATAATAATAATAACAATAATGTAGAATTTCAAAGAGGACAAAAAGTCTGGGAGAATAACAGTTTTTCTTCCTGTAAAATTCCACCAGGAGCATGATGGGAAATAATCTCAAAAGAGACTAGTTTTGTAAACAGTGACCCTGCAGGATCCTGGTCTTTACAGAAGCCATGTTTCCAAAGCAGGAACTTTCCCCAGGAACCACAAACCTTTAGAGGAACTATGCGCATTTCCACCGCAGGAGCCAGGGTCTAAATTTAGTTCCGGGGGAATTGATCAACCCCCAAAAAGGTACCCGGTCGGGTGGTAGTACTTTCCAAAGGTTCAGGAACTTTCGGGGGTGTGGTCTGCAGTGCTGAACATTTCTGACTGGTCGAGTCCTCACTGTATTTTATTTTACCCACGATGTTCAGAAGTCCGCAGCGAGCAAGCACCGAACACATTTTCCACACCGCGAAACGGGTCCGGGAGAAGGTAAAAAATTGAAACAGGACTACAAAAAAATAAAGGACCACAACAACTGGAGTGGCGAGGGTTGCCACCCGTCACGTATAATACAGGATCGTCACATATTTGAAAATAAAATACTGCGTCCTCTGGTGTTTTGAATATATACGGGATACAATTTGTCCCATATTTTCGTTCATGTGATGTCCTCAAAGTGCTGTGAATATTGTAATGTCAAGTAATAATTTTGGAGCTGCGATGGAAACGCAGAGAACAATGGGCCACACAGGAACCTTTTAGTTCCTGAAGAAAAGTACCTGGAACTTTAACTTCAGACTTTTTGGTCAAAACGCAGCTTAAGACCAAACCCTCTGTGACTCAGACTGAGCCTGCTGGGTTGCCATAGGGAAAGGAGGCAGGGCCTGGGCAGAGCTGAGGTATGAGTGGCTGAGACAGCTGTCAATCAAGGCAAACCATTTAAAAATCTGTTATTTCCCCCTCTGTCTGTTTTTGTTTGTTTTAACCATGTTTTATCTGTTTACAGATAACAAACCAAACACTTTTGTTTTCTTCCATTGCTCAGTTGTATTTAACAGTGTTTTCAGAGGTTTCTGTCAGTGTTGCTGATTGTAAAATCTACTAAATAAAAGTCTTCATCCTACTGAGCTGTTATTATTACAGCTGTTCATCATCAAAGCGCAGTAATTAAAATGATGAATGAAAAGTGAATGAAAATGATTAATTCACAGACAGACTGAGTCACTATGAATTCTCAGTCATCAAATTTATCTTTCAGGGCTGTTCTGACTTTTTCCAGGTGTTTCCAAGTGAGTTGCTTATATAAACACACACACACACACACACACACACACACACACACACACACACACACACACACACACACACACACACACACAGACACACACACACACACACACACACACAGGGTTCAGGATCTTGGTCAAAGAGGTTCAGGAGGAGGTTCAGGATTTGTTTGGCTCCAGCTGGTCTGGCTTCAGTTACAGGTATAGATCCACCAGATGAACAGTCATCAGAAACTGCTCTCAGTTCAGCTGCGGATCTGACTGTAGTTTCCCGCTCCTCCTGCAAGCGTCGCTGATGATTGCAGAGTCACAGAGAGGACTTTTATTTTGACAGCTTTGTGTACCCCGGATGTGCATGGCGGTGTTTTCCTGGACCAGATCTCTGAGCTGGCTCACGGACCGAGGAGCACTCTGTCTTGAACCAGCCTTTTCTCCCGCTGTATCGGTCTCACGGTGATGGGGGTCCGCGCGGGTCCGTGCGGGTCTCTGCTGGTCTGCCTTACCCTGTTGGTCACTGCGGTCCCCCCTCTGAACGCCTGGGAGGCGGATCTGGAGCTGCTGGATCTGGTGGAGGAGATCCCGCAGACCTTCTACCAGTTCATGTCCCTGAACCAGGTCCGGGCTAACAGCTAACTGCTAACTGTTTCCATGGTAACCGAACAGAAGCAGCTAGCTGGGTGCTAATGCTAACAGCTGAGTGCCACGCGCGCACACAGGCGGGCTAAGCTAACTCACATCAGGCGCTAATGTAGGAACCTGAACCAGATCGTGAGTCAGTTCCGGTTCTGAGCAGCTAGTTAATGCTAGCATCTGATGCCAACAGTTGTTTCAGTGTGACGTATCACCTCAGGTGTTGATGTTAACAGATCACAGAATGATTATTGTTAGTTTTGACTCGACCAGAGCAGTGACGTCACGAGCCGACTCTCTGGTTCCTTTTATTTCAGCAACTTGCATAAAGGAAAAGAGCTAAAGACCAGGTCCTGGTTCAGGGTCAGTCCGTTCTCATCAGGATGTCACATATTAAAGGGCCAGTTCAGTTTTTCATGTCTGTCTTAAACCAGAGTTACCTTGTTCCAGAGGTTCATTGATTAATATTAATTAATCAGTGAATCATCTGGTCACAATAAACACCACAGAACTGGACTTTGAAATGGCCAACAGGAAAGGAGAGGAGAATCAGGTAATGGATGAATGCAGTCCAACAGGTAACTGGTCAACACACCTGTCTCTGTCCTCCGTCCCTCAGGATGCCTCAGCAGCAGAGATCAAGAAGGCGTACCGTCGTCTGTCTCTCACGCTGCATCCTGACAAGAACAAAAACGAAGACGCAGAGACTCAGTTCAGACAGGTGAGGAACACACACCTGCTGACCAATCAGAGGAACACACACCTGCTGACTAGTCAGATTCAACCATTTCAGTTAGTTTGGGTTAATTTAGAAACAGTGTCTGTGACACAGTTGTTCTTCCAGAGAGCAAGTATATATATATATATATATATCATATATATATTATATATACAGTATGTATTTTTGTCTTTTCACTGTATTTTTTAATCACCAGATTGAAGTGATCATTGTGAATATGGAAACATTCATTTTGTTTTCAGCTTGTTGCCATTTATGAAGTTCTGAAGGACGAGGAGAGACGACGCAGGTAAGTCTCACCTGTTCACATCACAGCTCACAGTCAGACCTCAGCCAATCACAGCTCAGAGTTAGCTGGGTTTCCCTGGTTTGAATCGGCATAACTAAAGTGTGAGTGTGTCTTACCTGTACAGGTACGATGACATCCTGGTGAATGGGCTTCCTGATTGGCGGCAGCCGGTCTTCTACTACAGACGAGTGAGGAAGATGAGTAACTCTGAGCTGGGATTCCTCCTCTTCCTCATCCTCACTGTGGGACATTATGCTGTCATCTGGTCCATCTACCTGGAGAAACAGCTGGTAAGACAGAGCAGACAGCCAATCAGAGCGGAGCAGGCAGCCAATTAGAGCAGCCCGTGTCATGTGACCTGACAGTGAATCCTCCTTGTTTCCAGGACGAGCTGTTGAGTAAGAAGAAAAAAGAGAAGAAGAAGAAGGTGAGCTCCAGGCCTGTAGAGGAGCTCAGGTGTATCGGCCAGGACCGCACTGACAGGTACAGCTATGACATCATCTTCACTGACCACCTGTGTTTGTTTGTTTGTTTGTTTGTTTGTTTGTTTGTTTGTTTGTTTGTTTGTTTGTTTGTTTGTTTGAAATGTTTATTTTTGTTTGTTTCAGAGTTCAGGACAGGCCTCACTGGCAGGACATCCTCCCTCTGAAGCTGAGCATCTGGCTTTATCTGTCCATCAAAAACCTGCCTCAGACCGTCCAGGTAGGAGGGGACACGCTGCTCATACCTGGTCTCTGTCCTGGTCTCAGTCCCGGTCTCAGTCCCGGTCTCAGTCCCGGTCTCTGTGTGTTTCAGGAGGTGAAGCAGTACTACGAGGACTACCAGCAGATGAAGCAGCAGCAGAGAGAAGAAGCTGAAGCTGAACAGGAAGCTGTGACCAGTAAACACTAAAACATCAATACTGATCGATTATCAGTATTTATCGATAATCAGTCAATCATGGATAATTTAAGGAACTCAGTTGGTGCATTCAGGGACAATATGAGATTTAAGGTCACTGAACAGAAACCAGATCTTCAGCAGAGAGACTGAGACTGAACCTGAATCCACCAACTGATCCAGAGTCTGACCTTTGTCCCTGGTCCAGTTTTAACTCCCCGTCTGCTGTCTCTCTGTGTCTTTGTCTCACTGTTTCTCTTTGTCTGCCTTTGTCTCTCTGTCTGTCAGGAGAGAAGAGGCCGAAGCTCAAGAAGCCTAAGGTGGAGTTTCCAGTTTACGAGCCGTCTTCAGAGAACCTGAACTACCAGAGCTACGACCAGACCTCGTCCATTGAGGAGATTGAAGACCAGATGGACACCTGGCTGCAGGACCACAGAGCTGGCAGGAAGAAGGTGTGATGTCACTGATATTAAACTGTCCTAAGACTACAGACTGGTCTACAGGTGTAGTCCAATACAGTCCACTACAGTCCAGTCGTTAGTCTGTAGTGGACTACAGGTGTGAGGACACCTGGTGACGTCTCTGTGTCTGTCCTCAGGCTGCAGAGTGGACAGAGGACGAGCTCAGTTTCCTCAGCAGGTTGATGGTCAAATTTCCAGGAGGAACTCCAGGTCGATGGGAAAAGATCGCTCATGAACTGGGACGGTCGGTGTCTGATGTGAGTTTCAACTCGTTAAGTTTGACTCATACTGGTGTCAGGGATCCTGACGTTCTGCTTAGAACTGAGATTATATTAGTTCAATGAACCGTCCGTTCTCAGTTCAAGATGTGTGTGTGTGGTGGTGGTGTTGTGTGTGTTGTTGTTGGTGTGTGTTTATAGCTGTTATTAAAGAGAGAAGGAACCAGGACCCCCCCACAGGATGCTCTGGGGGCCACAGTTAACAGCTGGTCCACTGATCCAGGACCAGGACAGAATCCACATCAGTCTCCTTTCAGGGAAACTGAGCAGTGAGACCTGGACAGTTGAAGTTCTGGTCCCACCCTGCTCTGGTACCCAGACGTACATGAGACACTGAAAGGTCAAACAAGACGGTCCAGAGCTTCCAGCATGAATCTGAAACAGGATTTATTTTTCACTGCTGAGTGAACAACTTTTCCAGATTTCTGCCTCCTCCATGGGGACAAGTCCAGTTCACTTCAGACCAGTTTCTCAAAGTGTTTCTGCTACTGTCTGACAGTATCATCACTACAGGTCAGCTGTTCTTCTCTGAACATAGTCTGCACTAAGATCTGCCTCCCCCTCCTGAATTATGTGATGTTTTACCAGAACCTCTTTGGGGCCAAGTCCTCCTCCATGGCCTCCCTAAACCTCTGGTGTCTTTCACCCTGGGCGGTTCTGGAAAGGTCAGCTCCTCTCTAGATTATGGTTCAAGAGCCAGTACTGTGTGTTGAGGTGATCCAGTCTGTATCTAGTTGGAGTCCCTCTACCCCTTGCATCAATTCTGGGTCCTTCTCCACCACAGTGGTGACATTGCACATCCATAGAACCAGTTTTTGTAGCCTGGGGTAACTCCAGCCTTACAGCGGGGTGAACCACAGGGATCCACACAGGTGTGTCCCTGACCAACAGGTGTACCTTAGTGAGCTCCCCTCCGAGACCTGGCTCCAGGAAAGATCCTCTGTCTTTCTAATCCAGAAGAGTTCACCTTTTCTCAAAATCTGGTATTTCATCCAGAACCAGTTNTGAACCACAGGGATCCACACAGGTGTGTCCCTGACCAACAGGTGTACCTTAGTGAGCTCCCCTCCGAGACCTGGCTCCAGGAAAGATCCTCTGTCTTTCTAATCCAGAAGAGTTCACCTTTTCTCAAAATCTGGTATTTCATCCAGAACCAGTTTACCTCCTTCACCCTCCCAGGGTCATGGTGGTATACAAACCCTTATACCATGCTCAGGTGTTGGTTCTTGAAGGAGTCAGTAAACAAAAGGCTAGGAGCTAGTGCTAGGAGCAAGCCTTTGTGCTAAACTAGGCAATCTCATCCTCAATCTGAAACTGAAACCTGATTTAATGTGGGACTGTTCCTTTAAACAACTGAAACCAACAGAATCTTTTTCCTTCAACAGGTGACGACTAAAGTCAAACAGGCGAAAGACAACGTGAGCCACACATCAGGTGAAGGCTGTTTCTACTGTAACTGATTCTACTGCCAGTGTCAGGTTCTACGGCTTCTACTGTCAGCTGAAGTTAACCTTGCTCTATTTCAGGTCTGGTGAAGCTGTCAGACCTAAAGGGCCCTCATCTTCCTGTGAGGTCACTTCCTGTTGCTGACAGTGCTATGACGCAGAGGCTGGGAGGGGCCTGTGTGGAGGAAGAGGAAGGGGAAGAGGAGGAAGCAGCTCCAGCAGTCCGCAGGAGGAACAGGAAGTCTTCGACGGCAGCAGCAAGAGGGGAAGAGATGAAGGTCAGAGGTCGTCGGCAGAGAGATTTCGACCCAGCCATGGTGGAGGAGGATGACGAGGCGGAGCCTCACGAAAGCAGGGAGAAGGCAGACCCTGCTGCCTGGACTCAGAACCAACAGAAACTGCTGGAACTTGCTCTGCAACAGTTCCCCCGAGGAACCGCAGAACGCTGGGACCGCATCGCCAAGGTGGTCCCTGCGAAGACCAAGGTGAGGACTGACAGACAGGTAGACAGTCTACCTGTTCACTTGACAGTCTGATTGTAAGATGCTTGATGAACTGTTTTACTAAACCTGTAGAAGTCCAGACCAGGACAGCAGATGAAGCTCCTGCTCCACTTAGGGTTAGGTCAAGGTCCAGCTGGGTCCACTGCTGCGTCCTCTCCACCGTCACCACAGTGACTGTGTTTAAAAACTCTCATGCGCAGTGTTCGAAGCTGACGAGTTGTCCTCAGAGTAAATGACAGTAGAGACTCTCTCACTGAGCTCAGATTAAACGAGTGCACACACATTAGGTAAATAACATAAGTAAAATGTTTTGGTTGTTTAATTTTTTCATTTTGAATGACTTTTTTCTTTCATTTCTTGGAGGGGTGGGGCTAACACTGCATCATCTACAGAGTAAGTAACTTAATAACAACAGCTGCAATTAATAATGATAATAAAATGAATAGTGGCGATGATGAGGGTCAGTGGCAGATCTGGATCCTGCAGCAGATTACGACACTCAAGTCGGTATGAAATCCAGATTCGTGCCCCTCAGGATGGACCTGCTTGTTCAAGGTAAAGACCTGTCTGGGTCACCTGATCACCTTCACATGATCGTCAGCCGTCAAGTTCTTTGTGGCCAAAACCTTGATGAGGTCATGGGAGACAAGCAGTATCCAATCAGAGCACAGCAGCAAACACGCTCTGAGAGGGCACGCAGTTGAACCGGTTTCATCAGAACCACAGAATCCTCTAATTGATGTCAGATTGGTATCTGAGTAATAATAGATTAATATCATTGTCTGTGAGATGACTCGGAAACCGTATAAAACAATGTTGTCATCGGGACTGAATCCTGGGGACACACCTGGTCACATCCAGCGACGTGTCTGTTTACTAATTGATTATTGACTGATTGATAACTGATTGGTGTGTGTTGTTTTTTTTCAGGAGGAATGTATGATTCGTTATAAGATGTTGGCTGAGCTCGTTCAGAAGAGGAAACAGGCCAAGAGCTGATGAAAGGTCCTGAGCTCTGACTCCGCCTCTTCCTGCTTTCACCTGAATCAGGTGACCTGTCAGAAAGGTGATCAACCAGGTGACTTGTCAGCAGTGTTTTATCTCTGTCCGGGTGAGCCGCTTCCTGATTGGACTGAATCATAGTTTGTTTTATTTGTATGATGTGGTGTCTCACCTGATCAGGTGTGTTTTTAAAACCAATGTGTCAAAGGTAGCAGGTAACCAGTCTGAGGCCTCCTGACCTCTGACCTCACAGCTTCATGTGCCTTAGCTCTGTTCAGCATGCTGTCAATCAACTTCTGTTCAACTGATCAATAAAAAGTATTTATTATCTGCCGTTTGTTTTTATTTTTTCACTTTGTCACATTCAATGTTTAAATGATGCTGATGATGATGATGGTCTGTCATAAACCCTCTCCAAGTCCACCTTCTGGACCCGTGCAGGAGTAAACAGCTGGTCCGCTGATCCAGGACCAGGACAGAATCCACATCAGTCTCCTTTCAGGGAAACTGAGCAGTGAGACCTGGACAGTTGAAGTTCTGGTCCCACCCTGCTCTGGTACCCAGACGTACATGAGACACTGAAAGGTCAAACAAGACGGTCCAGAGCTTCCAGCATGAATCTGAAACAGGATTTATTTTTCACTGCTGAGTGAACAACTTTTCCAGATGGTGATGCTGGTGATTGTTGCTTAAGAACAGCTTCAGTCATCGTTATAATATATCTTTTGAGCAGCTACGTCTCTAACTTTAGTAGATGGACCAGAGCTAGCTGGTTAGCATGCTAACTTCAGTAGAGTTAACACTGGTGTGTTTCCACCTCTTGAGACAGCTGTTGGGGAGTAAAGGATGAAGTGTGTTTCTTCTCCACTGGTTGTTTCCTGCATCTCTATGACAACAGGTGAAGTTCCAACACTGTCTTTAAAAACTACACTTCCTGTCAGTCATCTTGTTTTACTGGCTTTACAACCATTTTAATTTAACTCCTAGTAGTTTTAACTTGTGTCTTATTATTTTACTTAATTAATTTATTCCTTTTCTTTAATGGTTTTAATCTCAATGTCTTTTACTGGTTGGTTGTTCTTATTTTATTTACAAGTAAAAATGCAAAAATCTTTAAAATCATCAACGGAACTCGTTAATTTTACTTTGTGTGGGAATATTATTTTGTTTGAGGTTTTACATCAATATTGTATCATCAGGAATAAATGTATTAACTGCAGTCATGAAAATTTTCAACACAGTGTCAGTGTAGAGTCAAAACAACAGTCTCATTCTCTCTGAGGTCAAACATCTGATCTGAAACCACCTGGGCCCAGTATTTCAAAACTTTGAATCCAGATCAGAATAGGATTAAATTTAAAAATTGGGTATTTCAAAACGGAATACGTGATCCTGATCCTACAAAATTTGGATCCAGATTTGGTAATCCAATCCCACCCAGAATCCAGATCAAATGTCAATTTTGGGTATTTATATGTTTGATGCTAAATGTCAGGATTTCCCTGATCCCACTGTAAGGGTGGATTCAGCATCGATTCAAGGTGGATGTAGAGACATGCAGGACACATTGCAAATATTCAACAGTCTTATTACTTGATGTTTGCATATGAAATTGACACAGACTACGACAAAACAATATCCAGCCTTTATTAAACAATTAATCAAAATAAAACTCAAAACTCAAAGCTTTCAGAAAAATGACTGGATTTTTTATTTTTATAAACTCCTAAATAATCTATGTATGTGTGTATGTTCTTTTATGTCAACATAAAATAAAATAAAAATGGTCACGAAAAGAAAAATCTCTGAAAAACAAGAGTTCACAGTCTCTCCTCTGGCAGTGGAATACCAGCTTCTGTCAGCTTCCCTTCTAAGAGGCGAATAGGAAGTTTCACCTCCCTCTGTTGAGGCAATGTCAGTTTGATCTGCTCCTCAGCTAGAGAGATCTGTTGCTCTGCTCTCTCCATCCCCTTCCTCACTAGATCCCCATAGCCATCTTGATCCTTCGGGTCCTTTGCAAGACATTTCCTCTTATAGGGCAGTTCCACCCCTGAAGAGTGGGGGTCCTTTTGCTGGTGTTGGGAGCCACCTGAAGAGTGGGGGTACTCCTGTGGACGTTGGGGGGTGCCTAAAGAGTGGGAGCCATTTTGCATGTGGGGGTCCTCTTGCTGGTGTTGGGGGTCGTCTGAACTGCGAGGGTCCCACATGCTGTGCCTCAAGATTCAGGATAAAAAGCTGCCCCCCCTGACTCATCAACCCTGAGTTTGGTGTCTCAGCCTCAGTCCCACACAGTCAGGATTCACCACCTTGTGAGACTGACTGAATGCCATGGAGAGCCTCAGACCTTTTTCCACCAATGATGTCTAGAACTACATCAGTAAACTCACCCACTTATATGTCTTGTTACCTGTTTTAGGGTTGTGAGACTCAGTATTGTCCTATGTGGCCTTCTGTTTTAAATTTTTCCAGCGCAGTTTGACCTGTTCCAGAGTTCTTAATTCAACACTCCCTGTGGCATTGACACTGTTGGTGATGTTCTTCCAAATGTTGGTTTTCATCCTGGATGTTACTGTTTCGTCAAGTTTAGCAATCAGAGTCATAATGTGCCCTCACACCATCCAGCAAGGCGTGTGTTTCGGCTTGGGTGAAATTGCTCCCTTTTGAAGTACCTGCTTCCATTTCCATTTTCTCTCTCTGTCTGTGTCGTCTACCAAGCACAACTAAAGGCCCATGCCCAAATGGACCCAGGTGTAAGCTGGGAGGCCAATTACGGTATCTTGAAAGCAGTTGTCCTAACAAGGGACCATACAAACAAAATGGCAGGTGTTGTTCGCCGTCTACAGAGGCAAAGGAGGAGATTCACATTGCACGCCCAAACCAACTGCAGGACTACACAGATGACACACTGTATGAGAGATTTAGGTTAGGTCGGGCTGATATTGGTTTCACTGTCAATCTACTACAGCCACAACTGGAACACACCACTACAAGAAGCTATGCATTGACTGTGGAAGAACAAGTACTGATGGTTTTGCGCTTCTATGCATGTGGATCCTCCTATCAAGTCATTGGAGATGGTGTGTGTGTGTGTGCACAAGTCAACTATCAGCCCTCTGCATTAGCCAGCCTTGTCAACCAGTTTGTCAAGTTTCCAAGGGATCCAGAAGAGACCAGGCAGATCAAGCGCAAGTACTTTGAAATGGGGAGGACACCAAACACTATAGGGGTAATACACAGCACTCATATTCACATCCAAGCACCCCATGAAAGGGAACGGGAATTTGTGAACAGGAAAGGGTGGCACAGCATCAACTGTGTTGTTAAATGGTCAGGATCGGTCTATGATGCTAGGATCTTGAGGTAGAGCTACATTTTTAGACACCTCCAACAGAATCCCCCAGATGGCATCACACTGGGTGACAGTGCATATCAGCTCTTACCATGGCTGATGACACCTTTTCCCATTTCCTAGCAACAATGCAGAGGACAGATTTAATAGTGCTCATAGAGGATTGAGGAGTATAATTGAACGGCTGGGTTGCTGAAGAGGCACTTTACGTGCTTCAACTACCTACATGTAGCTCCACAGTGAGCATGCAACATCATTCTCGCCTGCATTGTGCTTCATAACATCGCAGAAAAACACAAGGTTCCTCACTGTGATGGATGGCCCCAGGAAGATGGTCCTGATCTACCACTGGCACCACTGCAACCAGATGGGACAGCTGGATGCGCACTGAGAGAAGCTTTTGTGAACCATTATTTCACTTACGGTCCCGTGATCTATAGGTCCGTTTATCAATACAACATTAGTATGCTGGAGGAAAAGTTTTATGTTTGACTTTTTTGATCTAGTGGGACATTTGATTTACATATTGTGTTGTCTAATTCTTTTCCTTTTGTACCTGCTTTACTTTTTGTTATGCATCAAAACAACAACAAAGCAGATTCCTTGTATGTGTGAACTTACAATGGTAATAAAATGATTCAGTTTCTCATTCTGATTAAGTGTATTACATACATTTGACCAACAGATATCCAGATTCTGTGATCCTGATCTTGTGGTATCTGGATCATGATTTTCTTATTTTGGAGAATCAGGACAAAATCTACAGGATCAGGTTTATCTGGGATGGCAGAAAGAGGGATTACAAAATCTGGATAATTCTGATCTGGATTAGAATTTTGAAATACTGGGCCCAGAGAATATGTGATTATGTATTGTAGTGAGGACGTGGGGGAGGGTCTCATTACTCTGTGGACACTCAGTGGGAGGGTTCCCGCGTACTTGAGAACTGATGACACAGAAAGGGAGCATGAAGGAGACTCCTCAGGTCAGTTTAAAGTCTTGTGTAATGTCTAATAAAGTATTAAACGTTATTCAACTTTATTAAAATACACTCGGGGTACTGTGAGTCTGAGTCCCAGCGTCGCAATAGAGACTGGAACCCCCAATCCAGCCACATGTAAACAGTCAGTTAATTCAATGTGACAGGAAGTGACGCTACAATCCTTCCGGAAGTAGCCTTGGTCCTGCCAGCGGAGCAGAAGAAGAAGAAGTAGTCACGTAGCATTAGCATCAGCAGGTAGCAGATATCTGGAGCAGAGCCTGCGGATTAAAGTTCACACGTCATTGCTGCCGTGAGTCTATGCCACGCGATTTCTCTACGATTGAATCGTTGACAGTGGTTTTTCTACTATCATTAAATTAACGTGATGAACTTCGGAGTGGTTAAATGACGTCACATTCACAGTGACAGCAGTTAGCATCAGAGCTAACAGCTGAAGTTTGTCTGATGAGGAGCTGACAGCTTCACTCCAGGTCACAGTGTTAAAGTTCAGTCTCACCAGACTCCGTGTAAAAATGACGTATTTAAAGGTTGATGACTGAGTGAATCAGGACTTCAGAGTTTGTTGCTGAAAGACATGAAATAATGATCATGTGATCATGTTTCCTTTATCTGCTGATGTTATAAAGTAATTGCTGAACCAGACTCCTGATCAGGTGTGTGTGTGTTTGAAGATGAGCTGCTGTTTAAAATCATGTAACACTATGTATGAAGACATGAATGTTCAGTCCACTGCCTGTCAGGTTGGTGACGTCATTTCCGACACTCACAGATGAGGACATTAAAGCTAAAGATTAAACTGAAAGTCTACAGCTGTGGGCGAATTCAGTAACCAGTGTGTTTTGGCCTCTTTTTCATGGCAACAGCAGCAGAGGCTCATGGGTACTGTAGTGTTTTAGTGGTCAGAAAATAAACCGTACTGTGTGTTTGCTGTGTTTTTACCAGGGTTAGAATTACTGGGAGGATTGGGAGGGTATGACCCCACCCCCAAGCCCTTAAGCTACAGTTGAGCTAACTAATGTGAGCTAGTTTCTAACTTTAGCCTGAAGTTAGAAACTAGCTCACATTAGTTAGCTAATGTTAGCTAGATATATCACTTCCAGTGTTGGCTTGTTATTTCATTTCCAATATAAATGTCATATATGATCTAATGTTACAAACACTGGTGCTCAGTGGTGAGCAGTGAGGAGGAGTAGCAGTTGTTGTCACCAACATAGAGTTTCTTTAGTTTGATAAAAGTGTTTACTGTCTGTCCCTGAAGTGTCCAGGTTCACCAGTCCCACCTGTGTGTGTCCTCAGGTGTGATGCAGAGTCATGTCTGTGCAGGTGGTGCTGCAGCAGAGGATCAGCTCTGCTCAGGCGTTGCTGCAGCGGGCCGAGCAGCTGTGTCAGGGTGTGGAGGGTCACCAGAAGCTCTGTGGTAAACTGCGAGCCGAGCTGCGCTTCCTGAGACGGGTGGAGGCCGGAGAGCTGCAGGTCAAAGAGTCTCACCTGCACAGCACCAACCTGACTCACCTGACGGCCATCGTAGAGTCAGCTGAGAGTCTGGAGGACGTGGTGGCTCTGCTGCACGTCTTCACCTACCAGGACGCCTCCAGCCACCGCCAGACTCTGGTGGTGGACGTGGTGGCTAACGGGGGACACACCTGGGTGAAGGCGGTGGGGAGGAAGGCAGAGGCTCTGCACAACATCTGGCAGGGGCGGGGTCAGTACGGAGACAAGAGCATCATCAGACAGGCAGAGGACTTCCTTCAGGCCAGCCGCCAGCAGCCCGTCCATTACCGACACCCCCACATTGTCTTCGCATTCTACAACGGGGTCTCCTGCCCCATGGCAGACCACCTCAGGGACATGGGCGTCTCCGTCCGTGGGGACATTGTCGCAGTCAACATTGTTGTGACAGAGGGAGGCAGTGATGAAGATGAGGAGGAGGAGGAGGAGGCAGCTGAAGATAACCATGAAGAGCAGGAGGAGGAAGCTTCTGAGCTGACCCGGGTGGACCGCGGCACGGTGGTGGCCAGCTTAGCGTTTCCTGCCCAGGTGCAGGTGGAGGAGTGTCGACGGGTGAACCTGGACATCACCACACTCATCACGTACGTGTCATCGCTTAGTCACGGTGGCTGTCACTTCACCTTCAGGGAGCCCGTGCTGACGGAGCAGGCAGCCCAGGAGCGCCGCCTGCAGGTGCTGCCACAGCTTGATGCTTTCATGGCAGGTAAGGAGCTGTTCGCCTGTCGCGCCGCTGTCACTGACTTCCAGCTGATCCTGGACACATTAGGGGGGCCGGGTGAGAAGGAGCGCGCTCAGAAGCTGCTGGCCCGCCTCCACCTGGTGGATGACCAGCTGTCTGAGCGAACGCTGCGCCTCACGCCCAGTGCCAAGGTCAACCAGCGCTCGCTCACAATTTTCGGCACGGGAGACTCGCTGAGAGCCGTTACCATGACAGCAAATAGTCGATTTGTTAGGGCGGCAGCCAATCAGGGTGTCCGATACAGTGTGTTCATCCACCAGCCACGAGCTCTGACCGAGGGCAAGGAGTGGAGGGCCACGCCGGTCTGAGATGGAGAGACTTCCTGTGCACGGGCAGATGGGAGTTTGAGTTTTGAGTTAAATGCGCTGATGTAAATATGAACGTCAGCAGCTGACTCATGTTATTTGTGTTCATTATTTCAGAGTCTATATTCACCAATCAATAAAGCATCACAGTAACTTCCTGCTCCTCTGTCATTTGTTACAGGAGGTCACATGGTGTCAGGTGTGGCCTCATGCTTCGTTCATGTCACATCATAAAAACCATGAGGTTCTGTTTCCAACCTGATCCAGACTTCATAACAGACACCAAAATGTCCAACAAACCAGTTCAAGGTGAAACAGGTCAAATTAAGGAAGATGTGAAAACAGCTGATTAACAGGAACCGTCTAGGTGTCGGTGCTGATGAGTCTCTAAACTGGTCTAAGTAAACCAGCAGAAACCGCTGCACCTGGACCTGTTGAGAAAAACAGGCCTGAGACAGGGAGAAGTCCATGTTTATGACCCTTCAGCCTGTCAGCATTCGAGGGAAAGACATTGAGATGGTGCACACTTGTAAATACCTAGGTGTGCACCTGGACAGTAAACTGGACTGGTCCCTGAACACAGATGCCATGTACCTGAAGGGGCAGAGCCGGCTCTTTTTCCTCATGAAGCGCTACTCTTTTACCCTGCAGTCTGCTGGGGCAGCAGCATGTCAGACACGAACACAAGGAGACTGAACAAGATGGTCAAAAAGGCTGGGTCTGTGCTGCAGGAGTCTTGACTCAGGACTATTGTGGAGAGACGCATGCAATGTAAGATGGAGGCCATCTTGGACAATCCCACCATCCTCTCCACAACATCCTGGCAGGACAGAGAACCAGCTGCAGCTGCAGCTGTAAACGTCTCACCTCACTGCGCTGCAGAACAGAGAGGTTCAGGAGATCCTTTGTTCCCACTGCCATCAGGCTATACAACACCTCAGCCAAAGGAAGTGGACTCATCTAATTATTATTGTTTATTTATCATTAACAGTTTTTATTATTATCATTATTATTATTATCATAAACAATGAGCTAATGGATACATGAATTTCCCCTAGGGAATAAATAAAGTATCTATCTATCTATCTATCTATCTATCTATCTATCTATCTATCTATCTATCTATCTATCTATCTAGCAATAATGGATCACATGATTGTCAATATTATTCTCTCTATGTGTTTTGGTCAGTTATATTTTCTACAAACATAAAACACTACATGATCGTTATGTAGACAAACTAACATGGATAATGTTCTTTACAATTATGTTTTTATTTTAGTTTGAGTCAAACAAGTCAGTGATGAGCTCCTCACTGTGTCGGTCCTAACGGTTTAAAACCACTTCATATGATTTGCGCGGAGATATGTGGTTTTGACAGGACGGAGACAGTTTAATAATCCATTAGATCGAATAAAAGTTAAGAGAAGGACAATAAAACACGGAACAAGGACTTTACACGGTGACAAGTTGTATCATGGTCTTTTAATTTGAAAACCTGGAAGCGGACATGGGTGTGTCGTGTTTAAATTAGTGCCTCCAAACAGCAGCTGTTAGCCTGTTAGCTCATGAATGTTACGTCTTTCTGTGGCTGAGTTTTGGATAAAATGCCTCGGGTCGGAGCTGAGGAGGAGCTGCGAACTCTGGCGGAGGTGAGGACCGAACTTTAAACCTGCACATTCAGTTCAAGTCAAACTTTATTAGTCAGAGAACAAGTTGGCGTCTCACTTGACCTGCTGCTAAGTGGCTAGCCTCCAAAGTTAACATGGAACTCCAGCAAGATCCATTCAAAACTCTTACCTAGCGTAGTTAGCTACATGCTAACAACAACAAGGTCTAATCAGACTCCTTATTACCCCCCCACCCTCCTTACCTGTTGTCTCCTCTCCGCCCCCCCTCCCCATGCTCCTTCTCTTGTTTTTTCTCTAACCCCCCCCCAGTGTCAATACAGTTATCCAGCAGAGACTCTGTCTGATCTTCAGAGGGTTCGATCACTTTTCTCTGATCTTCGTCTTTATGTAGATTTTTACTGTGAGTATCAATATGTTTTTAATGTTTTTCACTCATTCATTCACTTCCTGTCTGTTTCACAATAAAAGCATGTTGATTCAAACAGTCCTGCACACTGTAAACCAATCTTATTGATTGGTTTACAATCAATCGTACATTTTAACAGGTTTTCCTAGCAAAGAGAAGAAGAAGTTGGTTTACCTGGCCGGGACAGTTCCTGTTCACTATGAAGGTAAGAGCATCAGGCAAACTCATCATCAACACCTGGGAGTTTCATTATATGTATATAACTGTTCACCAGTCCAGGTCAGTCCAGACTAGCTGAATGAGCCGGTTTTCTCACCTCTCACACCTGAGTCAGTCCACACACCACAGTCACACATTCTATTGTCATTTCAGCTCATTTATTTATTTTTTATTCTGATAACAAACAGCATGTTTGAGGATGAGGTGGTTTATAAGTGAACTTGGTACCAGAACACCTGGTCATCTCATCAGGTCTGGGTCGTAGTGAGGCAGAGCTAATCTCCGCCTGGTGTTGAGTTAGATCAGATAGCAGGGGAAGCAGCCAGACAGACCTGGCAAACCCAAACAAGGCCCCTGTCTGTGGGGTCAACTCCGACCTCAGGATGAATTTCTCCTGCATTCTGAGGGAGTCTGGAGTGGCATGGAGTCTGAGTGGGCCATGTTCAAAACCTCCACTGAAGTTGTGGTGGGTAGCAGCTGGGGTCATAGGTGCCTGTCAAGGTGGCAACTTAAGAACGTGCTAGTGGACACCAGTGCCGAGGGAAGCATTCAGGCTGAAGAAGGACTCAATCTACTGTCCAACCGCCTGAGGTCATCAGCTCAGGGTAGTGACTGAAAGAATACGTTTGTGGTTATATCCTCCTCAAGGTATCTGCGCTCGACCTTAGAGAGAGGTAGAGCTTTGAGGTGTTGCCTCCTGGGCGCCATCCTTTTGAGGTTCTCCAGGAATGTCCCACTGAGAGGAGACCCAGAACTCATTGCAGGGACCACATATCCCGCCACAATCAGACACCAGATAAGTGGAAGAAAGTGGATGGATGGATATCAAGAGTAACATGAGGTTAGAGACATCAGCCCCTCCATTCTGGTCTGATCTGGTCAGAGCAGGCCTAGTATGTCCTTGTCTGGGGTATGATTTATTCAGGGTCAGTCTGGTCTGGTTTTGTAAAACCTCTCTCAGACCCTCAGGGCCTGTATTCACAAGGCATTTTATCTTACCACTAAGAGTTCTCCTAAGTCACGCTAAAAGCTAAGAGTGCGACTCCATTACTATGGCTTACATCAGTTTTCATGGACGAGCTCCCCCACAGCGATTGGTTGATGAAACACCATCTGTGCCGGTGAAAACGCATGATTAACATCTGACAGTAATAATAAAAGAAACACTAAGAAATAAACAAATACAAATTAAATAATAACGGATTAGGAGCTGTTAACAAAAGTAGTTCATTCTCCAAAATGCATCTGTATTATCAGTGTTTCCTCTAGGATTTTTTTCAGCAGTGGGGGGCGTGCTCTCCGGGGGGGTGGTAACAGTTGGACAGCAGATTTACTTTCAAAACCTATTTGTTGGCTGAATATGCTTTTATCGCTACCATTGAACTTTTACAATATATATCTCAGCCATATACAATGTCAAAAAAAATAAATACCTTTGGTTTGTGAAAAATAAATGTTACTTCAACTCTAACCAGTTGAAAATGTAAAAAGTAAAAAATAAATAAAACAATAACATTAAATAAATAAAAATAATAAATAAAAATAAACATATAAAGATCAGCTAGATGGGCTGTAGAGTCAGTGGCAAAGTTTGCACCCAGGCTCAGAGCACTTGATTTTCAGCGTTATATAGTTTACACACTCACATCACATCTGATTACAAGTGTGAACATTAAAATATTATTTTTTACCTAACCATCATCATTTACGAGTCAGTAAAAGGCTTATGATAGGCTACCTGACTAGCGTCTTCATCTGTTGTCTTTTCTCTCTTTAGAAGAGTATCTGAACAAGCTCATCTGAAAATGCAGTCAGAGTTAATACATAATGACGTGTAGATATTAGCTTAATGCTATCAATTAGTTTACCCAAGTTAGCGTCACTGAGTTGACTAATAAGTCTACCTCTTCTCCGGTAGTCGCTGCCTTATTCCTCACGACTACACTTCTCTGACTCTGACCTGGTGCCTGACGTGATGTCACTTTCAAGGCCGCGCTCTCGCGAGTAATTAACTCCAATAGGATTCCCCCAACCCCCCCCACTCCCTCCCTCCCCTCCCCCCGCTGTTGCGCTCATCATCACACAGGCTGTGCTGTGAAGGTGGAGAGATGTGGCGGTGGTGCACTTGCGAGAATAAAAAAAAAAAAAGAAATTTGAAGGCGTGGCGGCTATGATTTAGCAGTGGCGGGCCACCACTGATAAATGAATGTAGAGGAAACTCTGATGATGAAGTTTGTGTCGACCTGAGAGAATTTAATTTACTATAAAAACTTACATTCAATTCTCTCAATGGAAAGATAAACAAACTCACCTGTCCTAGATGAGCTAACTAAAGCTAACAGCCTATTAGCCACAGTCTGTTGTAGCTGTACCTGTTGTAATGCAGCTGTGGTCCCAGCTGTGGGTTGAGGTGTGAGAAGATTTCCACTGGACACTGTACAACAACGTCTACAGCTGTACAGGCAGCATCAATACAACCTGTGTGTTGATGCTGTGACTTTGTTTCCTGTTTACAAATCTAATCATTTTTCCATGTGTTCCATCTCTGGCTCTGATCACAGCAGGTAGACCGACCATGAAGCTGCTGTATTTCTCTGTAGTTGTTGACCATCTAAAGGAAGTCGTATGAACTGTCCTGTGATGTCAGAGTGCATTTATTGTTTGCTGGATATATCAGCTTTTCTCTGTTGCTAAGTAACGCAGCGTTGCCAAACACTTCATTTCTGCACTGATCAGGTTGTTTCAGTTGGATGTTATTACACCTTCACTAACTCCACAACGATCATTATTACCTCTGATTGAGTCGTATCTTTCCAGTGATTCAGCATCATGTAAGGTTTCCAGAACACTGACGTAGAATGACGGCAGCTCTTTAAGATTCTTTGTGATTAGGCCTTAGTGAGTTAGGAGTCCTCTCCACTGCTGTTCACTTCTCCCAGACTGAGGAGCTGCTTTTAACGCTAAGTGACTTTGTGAAAAGCTCTTAGTAAAAATAAATAGGACATTATTTTTTTGGAGTTTCTCCTAAATCAGCAAGTTAGGAGAAACTTTGAGCCTTAAGATGCTTTGTGAATATGGGCCCTGATTTCCATACAAGAAATGAGTGTAGTATCTCAGTGAATTAGTTTTCCTCATCTATGTGGATCAGTCTGCACTGGATTAGTCTGGTCTGGTTTTGTTGACTGTTTGCTGTTGTATATGTCTCTACAGGAAGTGAGTATAATATCCCAGTGTGCATCTGGCTTCATGAGACTCACCCCGTGTCCCGTCCTCGCTGTTATGTCTGTCCATCTGTCTCCATGGTGATAAACCCATACTGTCCCTGTGTGGACGCCTCTGGCAACATCAGTCTGGATGGATTGAAAAACTGGACCCATGTAAGTCTCACTTAGCATGTTCAGTCAGACTGGACTAGTTAGGGTGGTTAGTTAGCTGGTTATCCCTGTACAGGTAGCAGACCAAAGTAGTCCAGATTCCAGTTCTTCCTGGTGGTTCCTTTAGTGTTCCCAGACCTGATCAGATACATGATCCTGTCCCTCAGTTGAATCTGTTTAACCGACCGTTAATTGACCTTTAATCAACCGTTAACCGACCGTTAACCAACCATTAACCGTCCATTAACCAGCCATTAACCAGCCATTAACCGTCCATTAACCAACTATTAACTGGCTGTTAATTGACATTGAAATGACCATTAACCAACCATTAACCGTCCATTAACCAACCAGATTAAAATGTAGTATTGAGACCAGATGAGTTACACAGTCAGCTGTGCATGACCGTCACAGCCTCTCTGCTGCTTACAGGTGCTGGTCAATAAATTAGAATATCATCAAAAAGTTGATTTATTTCAGTAATTCCATTCAAAAAGTGAAACTTGTATATTATATTCATTCATTACACACAGACTGATATATTTCAAATGTTTATTTCTTTTAATTTTGATGATTATAAGTGACAACTAATGAAAATCCCAAATTCAGTATCTCAGAAAATTAGAATATTACTTAAGACCAATCCAAAAAAAAGGATTTTTAGGAATGATGGCCAACTGAAAAGTATGAACATGAAAAGTATGAGCATGTACAGCACTCAATACTTGGTCAGGGCTCCTTTTGCCTGAATTACTGCAGCAATGTGGCGTAGCGTGGAGTCGATCAGTCTGTGGCACTGCTCAGGTGTTATGAGAGCCCAGGTTGCTCTGATAGTGGCCTTCAGCTCTTCTGCATTGTTGGGTCTGGCGTATCGCATCTTCCTCTTCACAATACCCCATAGATTTTCTATGGGGTTAAGGTCAGGTCGAGTTTGCTGGCCAATTAAGAACAGGGATACCATGGTCCTTAAACCAGGTACTGGTAGCTTTGGCACTGTGTGCAGGTGCCAAGTCCTGTTGGAAAATGAAATCTGCATCTCCATAAAGTTGGTCAGCAGCAGGAAGCATGAAGTGCTCTAAAACTTCCTGGTAGACGGCTGCATTGACCTTGGACCTCAGAAAACACAGTGGACCAACACCAGCAGATGACATGGCACCCCAAACCATCACTGGCTGTGGAAACTTTACACTGGACCTCAAGCAACGTGGATTCTGTGCCTCTCCTCTCTTCCTCCAGACTCTGGGACCTTGATTTCCAAAGGAAATGCAAAATTTACTTTCATCAGAGAACATAACTTTGGACCCCTCAGCAGCAGTCCAGTCCTTTTTGTCTTTAGCCCAGGCGAGACGCTTCTGACGCTGTCTCTTGAACAAGAGTGGCTTGACACAAGGAATGCGACAGCTGAAACCCATGTCTTGCATACGTCTGTGTGTGGTGGTTCTTGAAGCACTGACTCCAGCTGCAATCCACTCTTTGTGAATCTCCCCCACATTTTTGAATGGGTTTTGTTTCACAATCCTCTCCAGGGTGCGGTTATCCCTATTGCTTGTGCACTTTTTTCTACCACATCTTTTCCTTCCCTTCACCTCTCTATTGATGTGCTTGGACACAGAGCTCTGTGAACAGCCAGCCTCTTTAGCAATGACCTTTTGTGTCTTGCCCTCCTTGTGCAAGGTGTCAATGGTCGTCTTTTGGACAACTGTCAAGTCAGCAGTCTTCCCCATGATTGTGTAGCCTACAGAACTAGACTGAGAGACCATTTAAAGGCCTTTGCAGGTGTTTTGAGTTAATTAGCTGATTAGAGTGTGGCACCAGGTGTCTTCAATATTGAACCTTTTCACAATATTCTAATTTTCTGAGATACTGAATTTGGGGTTTTCATTAGTTGTCAGTTATAATCATCAAAATGAAAAGAAATAAACACTTGAAATATATCAGTCTGTGTGTAATGAATGTATACAGTATACAAGTTTCACTTTTTGAATGGAATTACTGAAATAAATCAACTTTTTGATGATATTCTAATTTATTGACCAGCGCCTGTATATCCAATACAAAATAAAGTACTTGTTTTAAATGTAGAATTATGGATTCATTGATAGAGAATATTGGTTATCAGAAATATTGGGGATGATTTCAATGATTATATGTTGCAGGATTATTCTTTATTCATCAGTTGTATGAAAGAAATTGTCACTCAAACACTCAATGAAAGAAAAGACAACAGCCAATGAAAAGAACAAATAAACTCAGTTTGAAATCACATGGGTAGATTGATAATAACAATAATAATAATAAGCTTTATTTATAAAGCACCTTTCAAAACGCAGTTAAAAGTGCTTTACAAGACAAACAATAAAAAATGAATGATACAAAAAACATTTAAAACCAGTTTAAAGGTTTTACAACGTTGGGATAGAAAAGTGACGATGAGGTTCAATAAAAATGAGATAAAACAATCTGAAATAATTGACTTAATGTAATAATAGATTTTTTTAATGAAGAAGAAGAGTTCACCTGATTCAGTTCAACTGGTTTATGTTGGTTTGCTTTGAGTGTAGGACGGTGGACAAGAGATTATGTTATTATATATGATGTTTATGTTTTTTCATATTGGGGTTAGGGTTAAATTAAATTTGATATGTGATCTATGATAATGAAGTAATTAAGTTTAATTATCGATTTATGTTCAAATCTTTATTGAACAAAGTCTTTAAAACAAATAACTGGTTATTGTTAATGTGTTGGTAATGATGATGTCACTTCCTGTCAGGGTGTGTCAGACCTATCACTGCTCGTGTCAGAGATGAGGCGGGCCTTCCAGGTGGATACACCCCTTTATGCCAGGTGTCCTGTACAAACCCCGCCTCCTACTGGTGTTCAGGTGTCACAGTCATTGACAGGTGGAAGGTCAGAGAGGTAAACACTCCCTAAGTTGTTCGATGTAGTAGTGATTATTGATAAAAATGAATAACTGATCGTGTCTGACCTTGTTATATTTCTGCTTCCTCCTCCTGCAGCCTCCATCATCCCTCCATCACCTCCTCTTCCCTCACCTCCTTCTCTATCACCTCCTCCCCACAGAGCTGTCGTCTCTCCCTCCCCTCCTACCTGCCTAGACAGAAAGGTAAAGTTCCTGTTGGTCTGAGATGACTGTTAGCATGTTAAAGGTAGCACACCTGTTTGACATAATGAAGCCTTTCCCCCTGTGTTGCAGACAACCAATGGGAGCATAGCAGGGAGGTGAAGGTGAGGAGGTCTTACACTGAGGAGCTCCTTGGAATCGACTTCAATGCTCCTCCTCCCTCCTCCTCCTCCAACCACAACAACCCCTTCCTGAGCTCCTCCTCCTCAGGTGAGACGGAGTGAGTGTTGATGACAGTGAGTGTTGATAAGCCGGAGCAGGTTAGGAGGTCAGTATCAGTTACCATGGTGATTTACCCTGGTAACCAGTGAACCACTGTCGAAGGGCTGAAAACCCAGAGTTAAACATGAAGTTACCTCGATAACCTCAGATCCTGCTTCAGTACAGACCTCTGGTCCTGGTCCCTGCAGGTCCCCCTCCAGAGCCCCTCAACAGGATGATGGGAACTCTGAGACTGGACACAGAGTCTAATAGAGGCCAGCAGGGGGATTCAACTTTACGGAGCAACCAATCAGAAGCAGCTAGTGACAGACACAGAGCAGGTTTTGGACCAGCACCTGGACTAAGTCAGGAGCTGGATACTCAAAGCCTGGGAGCAGACCACATTGAGGTGAGTAGGAGAGCCAGTCTCAATCAGTCTCAGTTAGTCTCAGATGTTCCCAGGTGGTCTCAGTTCTCCTCTGCCCCCCTCAGATGGTGTCCCGTCTCCCTCCGGACCAGGCGACCATGTTCCTGTCTCTGATGAGGATGAAGGGGCGGAGCTTCAGCCCCAGTGATGTCATGGAAGCAGTCCAGCTCAACAGAGATCTCCCATCAGCCCTAAGATTTCTGACTCACAGCTGCCCCATCTGTCAAGACCAGGTGACCTTCAGCAAGGTGAGTCACCTGAGTGAGCCGCTGTGTGTGTGTGTGTGTGTGTGTGTGTGTGTGTGTGTGTGTGTGTGTGTGTGTGTGTGTGTGTGTGGGTGTGTGGGGGGGTGCAAGGTGAGTCACCTGAGTGAGCCGTGTGTGTGTGTGTGTGTGTGTGTGTGTGTGTGTG